ATATAAAATTACAACCCCGATAAGAAATAAGAGGTTGCATAGCTACTTCCATATTCACTAATACAATTGAATCAGAATCGCTTCCACCTATATATATCTATGATAATTTCTATGGTCATATTATTGTTGATTATTGTAATTATTAAATGTCAGCAAGCGTCTTATTAATCCATTATTAATTAATAAATAATTGATGTACAGTAACTTTGCTATTGCGGTTATTTCAAGCTTTCTTTGGTGGGTATTGTTAATTTGTTTTTCTTATCAATTTTTAATGTCAGTAAAGTTGGTTAGTTACAAACCAATGTCCATTTGCAATAAAAAGCAAACTTGTGTACTTCTTAACATTCTTTACTTTTAATAATTTATCACATTCTCTACTTAGGTATTACATATTATTATTATTTATATTTGATTATAGTTGCATATAACAGAGCATTTTTCAGGAAAATTGTACAAACTTTGGACACCGTGGGATGTCACCAGGAATTCGACCAGTGCTCAAAGGAGACGCCTTTAGCTGCAGAACGTGGCAGTACCTGAAAGAAGTGTAAAAGTGTCTCTTTAAACACAGAAAACAAATAACGCGATATCTATCTTTTGCTAGAGGAAGGATTTGCAATCATTAATTGACATTGCCTTGTGTGCACCACAGGGTAACACAATTAAAAGAGTAAGAAACAACAATAATTGCAGTCACTTAAACTTTGTTTTAAGACAGAAAGGTACAATTCCTGGGTATTTTTGGGTTTACTTATTTACTAACTACTTTACGTATGTGAGAAAACTGTAGCTAACAAATTTCTCAGAATAACGAAATATAAATTAACTTGCAAAATGAAATTTCAATGTCTAATTAAAAATTATAAATTCATCAATCAATCAGTAACGTTTACCTTTTTCTGCGAATATGTTAAAATGACTTTATTTATATCTACCTCATTGTTTTCCAACATTTAATATTTTAGAAAGTATGTTGGGTTGCCTAACCACTTGTTTAGTTTCTGGTAATTAATTTTTGTACTTTAAAAAGTGACCTTTCATTGGTTCGACAGGACCGGACTAAAAATTTTCAGGAGATGGTTGCTAGATACAATTAATAGTTTTTGTGAATGTTGAAGTTAGTTTAAAACTTTTAATTATTATGCTTAAGTGAATGTCTTGAATGAATTCCACAAGATTAATAATAACTAATCTAGCATACATTTTTCCATACCTGTTAGCATCATCTGTATCAATTTGTGTGTTTTCTACGTTATCATCATTATAAATGTCATCATCATCATCATCACTTGACAAACTATTTTCATGATCTAAACTAATCTTATTTACTGCATTTAACATATCATCTTCTGTAACACTTTCCATATCAGATTCATCGGGATAATCATTCCTCCAATTATTTTCATCATTAGAATCCTCACTTTCATCTGTATCTCTTTCATTTATTCCATTGTCTCTATATGAACCATATATCAGTTGATCACTTAATGGATATACACTGAAAAGGCAACAAAATTATACATTTATTATAAAAATTTAAAATAAAATAAAGAAAATACTACCTTATTAACTCATTGTCTTCTACATCTTTTTGAAATTCAGCCCAGTGGGCATAATACAAATCATAAAGGTATGAATCTGAATTAGTTTCTGAGGAATTGTTGATCTCCTTTTCATTTTCAATATCATAAATAGTAAAATGCAGTTCTTCATTCACCAAACTACTCGTTGAAGTATTTTCATTTTTCAATCTCTGGCAGTTTATAATTTTATACCTGCTGTTTTTAGAAGCA